CCACCCCCCTTTTTTGTTTGGCCTCAGACTGAGAAAATATTCCTTCCATCAGATCCGGGAACACCACCGAAAAGTCAGGAAGGAGGCCAAAAAACGTGGTCGCAAAAAGCCCAAGACAGACACCAGTGTTCCCAGTGCTGCACCATTTAAGGAAGAGCTTTTACGGGAGGCGGAGCAAAGAAAACAGAGGGTAAAGTAGAGTTTGTGGTGAAGAGGAGAACCGAGACCATCCCTATCTTCAAGGAAGCTTTGTGTGCATGTATGTGCACACCCAGAGGTGCAGCCACAGTAGACTGTAAATGGTCAGAGTAGACATGTGCTTTGGAAAAATAATCTATTTCCAGCATTATACGGTGTGCAACAAGTTGCATTTTATTTTTAATCTTCATTGTACCACTCTGTGTATAAACATGCTGGCAGTGTAATTTCTCAAGTAATCCAGATTGCCCGTGATGCTAAGATATATAAATGTCCCATCAGAATGCAGAAGTTAAGTCTTAGTATTACATAATTAAACAGATTATAAGAATCTGCTTTCTGCAGCATGGAGAAATTTGACATGAGATCAGCACACTTTTCAGTTGTAATGGGGTTGCTGCATGGCTGTTATTTGGGGATCTAGCCCAAATTATTACCTCCAGTTTTGAGGCAATCAAAGTTAACTATTCTTTTCAGGGTAAGAGGCAAAAAAAGTTCCCAGTTTCACTCGGAGAGCCATGATAAACTGTTGTGGGAACTTTGGTCATAAATAAGTAAATGAGGAGAAAGAACCATCTTCCTTACCACCTTCAAACGTGTTGTCTGGTTTGGGGTTTTCTTTGCAATCAGCTTGAAGAACTAAAACAAAAGCAGAAGCTCAACAGACAGAAAGAACATGAAAAGAAGAGGAAGCTTGAAGCCAAAAAGAATGCAGCCAAAATTAAGGAAAATGTAGAGGGAAAGGTAGGTGTCTGGCATGATTTTGATTCTTTGAAGCTTATAGAAGCAATAAAAGTAATCCTTAAACTACGTCTTTTTAAGCAGTACATTACCTTTTCATGCTGTGTATGCACAAAAGTATAATACACTAATTCTCAGGTAAATCATTCCTTTTCATTTTACTTGCATTCAGGAATCCTCTGGCAAATTCAAAGCAAAGACTAACAAATTTCTGGATAAAAATTCAAAGAAATCATTCTGCAGAGAGCTCGAGAAGGTGAGACACCAGCTATTTTTATATAATTTGATGAGAGTCAGCAATGAGACCACGTGTTATTTTCCTTTTTAGCATTACTGTGCAGCTGCTAAAGGTTGCTTGTGATAAACTTCAACACTGAAGTAAAGGATTTTATAGAAACTGTGAGGGTTTCAGCCTTGTCTGCTGTGAGCTACTGAGACATCCAGCACTTTGAGGAATTTGAATTCATGGTCCAGTATCAGTACACAGTGAGCAAAGAGCTCTTGTAGGACTGAGGTACTAATGTCTAAGCATTTCTTGCCTTTGGAGAAAAAAAAAGATGAAAATCACTTCACCTTCCTGGTTTGTAGTTCAGAAGAAAGGAGCTCAAGCAAGACCAGTTGTATGAAACCTCCTCAATTATTCTGTTGTAAGCCACAGCTATTGCAGTTGTCATCTCTCCAATGGTCTGTCATGTCTTGAGAGTCTTCTCTCTGTTTTTCTGACCTAGGTGATTGAGGCCTCAGATGTGGTTCTAGAGGTTTTAGATGCAAGAGATCCAATGGGCTGCCGGTGTCCTCAACTGGAGCAAGCTGTAACTTCCTCTGGAGGAAACAAAAAGCTACTGTTGGTTTTGAACAAAATTGGTAAGAAGCACAAGCTTTCTTGAAGTGTTTTGTGGTCACTCTGTGGTTCGGTGGACGTGAGCTATGAAGAAGACTTTAAAGGAATCTGAGATTCCACTGAAGACATAAGATCCAACTCTGAGCTCGCAGGCCTATTAAAGCAGCCACATTTCCTCCACCTTGTAGTGTAGTTTGCTAAGAAAACACCACAGATGGATAAACCCATTAGCCCCTTTCTTTTGCAATAACTTCTGAAGGCACTTGCCAGTCTCAGAAAAATTTGACAAAAGTTAAAGATTTTGCAATTTTTAACATTTCTGTGAATATAGGTGAGCAGGCAGGGGTCATGATGCTGGTCCCCACTGAGACAATGGTGAATTAAGGGTCAGCAGTTCAGTGCAATAGTTGGATTTGAAATTGGCCTTTGGGAAGATTCACAGGAGTGAAAGGACTATGGTCTTTCTTTCCAGATTTAGTGCCAAAGGAGAATTTAGAGAAATGGTTGAATTATTTGAAGAAGGAGTTGCCAACGGTTGCTTTTAAATCAGCAACGCTGATGCAGGACAGGACTATGGTAAGAGCACCGCAGGCTGTCTCATGACTAAGTCCTATGTGTTTGGAATCACGCACGTTGAAATGTTGAGAAACAATAACTCTTGTTCTTTAAAATTCTTTTTCCTCTTGTTTGGTTTTGCTGCTGTGACTGTGTGGTACAGTGGGGGAATTCTTGCTGTTGGAATACATATTGTTATTTGTGCCCACGATGCTGGATTAGAGTAAAAGCACAGTTTAGGGTTTTTTTCATGTAAGAAGGATTCTAAGGGGAGGGACATGAGGAATTTTTCATCTGGATAGGATGGCTGCACCAGTTACAACTGAATTGTTCTGTAAAGTGGAGCAGGCTATACTACTGCATACATCCTGACTGTGACCATCAATAAAGGTAGCACCTGATATTCATGGAGGGTATAAAGAGGGTTAGCTCCCTGTGTGCTCATCTCCGCTCTCTGAAGATGCTTGTTTGAGTCATACGTGCCTGAATACGTAATGCTGCACATCTTAACCCCGATAACAGCATCGTGAAATGGACCCTTCTGTGAAATGGTGCAGAAACTGTAATGCAGAGAGCAAGTTTTGAAATCCTTCAAAAAACTGAAGTTTTTTGAGTGAATTTGCAGATTTAAGGATTCTACCATCTGAACATACGTGGGTATTTTATGGCTGCATGACAAATCTGCAGTACAGCCTGCACTGAGGTCACAAGCCCTATAAGTCAACATTCCTTTTTCTCATAGTAGTTGATAGTTACTTTTTTTTAGTGTCACTTAACCGATTAGCCAATTTCTGATTAAACCAATTCATTCTATTTAGAAGAACACAGTAACATTATCCAATAGAGGACAGGAGTTGGAAACAATACAGTATATAAATCAATCTAAGCATACATATTTATCTTTGTAAATAACTCCTGACCATGGGTGTTTCTTTTGCCTTTGAATCCTGTAGCTGACACATGTCAAAAGAAGAAGACGTGCAAGTGTTGATTTATCAAGACCCACGGAAAGTTTTGGAAGCAAATGCCTTTTGAAACTTCTTCAGGAGTATGGCAGGACTCAAAACAAAGCCATTCAGGTGGGGGTAGTAGGTAAGCGTTTGGAGAGTTAGGAGTTTCCTTCTCCCATAAAGCTTCAGTATCCTGTATTATAAAGTAGGTAAACCAATTAACATGACTGGCTGATGGGCTTTCCAGTCCTTGGTTTTACTTTCATCTAAGACTCATTACTGTACTTCAGTTGACAGCGATCTATGCTGTACTTACACGCCTGTAGTGCATGGCATCTGCGGAAGGCACACGGCGCGAAGCCTTAGCACATCACCTGAGACCAGCTTAGGGAAACGAGAAGCAGGTTACACACCACAGCCTGCCCTGCCTTCCGCCTTCGTCCTACCTGCTAAGATTTGTGGTGTTACATTCAGCAGCATTCTCAGTGTGAGAAATGAGGATACAGGTTTTGTCTTACTTCTGTAGTGAAGACTTCAGATCCAACTCTGATCTCACTCTGGAGCTGTGCTTTACCAAAGACACCTGGAAGAAGCAGTTTGATCAGTGTTACATAGGCTGAGTTTTCTTATTTCTAACAAGGATTTATGTGGTTTCCTTCAGGTTTCCCTAACGTGGGAAAGAGCAGCATAATCAACAGTCTTAAAGGAGTTCGTGCTTGCAATGTTGGCCTAACAAGAGGTGTTACCAAGTAAGCAGAGTCCGATAAAAGCTGTTAATTTCTCTGTCTGTGTTCCAATTACTCCAAGTCTGTTTGTGTACAATTTCTATCCATTAAAACTATGCCGCATGTGCAGTTTTAAATGCACATTTCCATTTGCCAGCATGAAAGATACTGATCTGTTTGATGCAAACTGTCATGAGAGAATGCAGTCTATAAACTTGCTCTTTTTGTACATTTAGATTTTTGTTCTGCACAAAGCACATGATGACAAAGCACCAAAACTGACTCTGTATGAAGTCCATTCAGTCCAACGCTGAGCTTTGTGTCTTGCATCTCCCACCCTTACCAGTCCTTTGCTAGTTGATTTATGTACTCACAGTGCTTTTCTCTCTTAACAGGTCCATGCAAAGTGTGCAGGTTGATAAACAGATGAAGATTTTAGACAGTCCAAGTATAATTGCAGATCCTTCCAACAGTGCCTTGGCTCTGGCCTTGAGAAGTATCATAGACACCGAAGAATCAGGCTCAGCAGATGTGCTTGAAGGAGTAGATGCCATTCTAAATCACTGCAGTAAACAGCAGGTGAGCTTCATCTTTTTTCACATCTCTCACTGCATTTCCCTTCTCTGTAGGTTTCTTAGGCCAATAACAAAAGTTCGCTTCTCTTCAACTAACTCTAGTACTTTTGCTTTCCCCTAATCACAGAGAGGGGGAAACTTCAGCTAGTGTATCCAATGCTAAGCGTGATCTTTCATCCTTACAAATAGAAAGCAGAAACAGCATGCCATGATCCTGTCAGCTAGAGTCTGTTTTCCCAATAACTTTTCTGATTTTTTTTTTTAAAACTGCCTTTAACATCTCATCACAGTATCGGAGTGAAAAATGAAGATATTCTGACTACTTCCTATTTTTACAGTGAAGACCTCAGATCCAACTCTGATTTCACTCCAGTTTCAAGCAGATTAGGCTAAGCCTAACTGCCATTCAGTTCTGTGATCACTGGGTTTTCACAAACCTGTGTGCGTCTCTACACACCCATTAGTATGGGTGAACACCAGATAAATTTGTTGACAACGTAAGCATTTTGTTTTGTAGTATTTACTCCTGCATGCAAGAGAAAATGGCTCTTCACATACTTGTTTGTCCCTGTTGTAATCCAACTTGATTTGCTCTTTTATTGCTAAAACTAAGAGAAAAGTGGGTCTCTCTTTCTAAATGCATTATTTTCTTTGGCACTAGGTAATGATCCACTATAATATCCCAGATTTCAGGAACACTGAAGAGTTTTTAACTTTACTTGCTCAGAGAAGGGGTA